AAGTAAAATTCAAGTCTTGCATAACCAACATCTCTAGTAGTTCTTTCTGTATGCTCTGTTTTTTCCTTCCTATGGCAATTACAATTAGTCATTTTTTAACTTCCAGTGTACAGTCATATGGCAAAGTCACAGAACACACCTAACAAATGACACATGGTGTTCACATTTTTGTCAAATACAAATTAATTGGCTTCTTATTCTCAACACAATAATTGCTATTATATTTTATATAATAAGCTCAGTTATACACTCATTCTGATTGGTTCTCACTCATGACCTATTGGAGGACAGACATCTAGATGACGTCATCATTAAAACCTTTTTTAATTCTTTATTATATAAAACAAATAGATTCCAAGTTGCCGTGCGTCTGTTCAGTAATAGATCACAGAGGACGTCAAAATGTGGTAAGAACATCAGTGACACACTTGGCTGCACCTCACATGCCACTTTTTTGTTCTTACCACATTTTGACGTTCTCTGTGATTTATTACTGAACAGACGCACAGCAACTTGGAATCTATTTGTTAAATAGAGTCAAATTATGTGTAGCGTGTTCAAAATTGACCACTGACTATCAACCACATATTAACATATGTACAATTCAATACCAAACTTATCTCCCAGTAAGAAGTGACCAAGTATTTGAGCAGCCGTTTTAACAACTAATGAAAACATCAGTTGTCAAGATGGCGTCTGGAATACCTGACTAGCCCGGCATTTCTTCTCAGGATTTGGCTGCCAAACTTAAATTTAAGTTAAAAACCAGCCCTTTAACTCCCATAAGTGACCAAGACAGAATTTCTCCTTACAATATCAATACAATATTGAGCAGACAAGTGATGAGAATAAAGAAAAATATAAATTAAAGGATTTTAAGTTGATCAAAGACCAAATTCTCAGAACTAACATTATAAGAATTGTAGAGCAGACAGTAAGGAGAATTACTAATAAGATCTCAGGAGTGAAAGGGTTAATATATAGCTGCAGTGACATCTGGATTAGTCCCAGTTTCTCTTCTTGTGGTTTAATTCCTGACTAGGCACATGTTCAAAACTACTTTCTCAGAATAGTAATTAACCCTTTTAAGTCCCTGTAATGACCTAGAAAGAATTTCTCCTTACACTATCAATATGATATCAAGCAGAAAAGTAATGAGAATAAAGAAAAATATCAATTAGGGGATTGGTTGATCCAACTCCAAATTCTCCAAACTAACATCACATAAATTGTTTGGCAGACAGTAAGGAGAATTATGAATGAAATCTTGGGAGTTTAAGGGTTAATGCAATTCATACTAAGTAGTTCAAGTGTTCAAAGAAGAGAGAATAAGCATTTTGTAATCCTTCCACCCTTTAACTCCCAGAAGTAATTAATGTATAACTTCTCCTAAGAGTATCCCTACATCATCCCAACTTACAGCGAATAAGAATACATTAACTAATCAGGCAAAAGATGTTATCTTAATGGAACATCAAATTCTCATAAGTAATTAACAAGGTAATGTGTAGTCACAAGAGGGGAGAATTGATGATCAGATCGTGGGAGTTGAAGGGTTAAACCCTAACACCAGTATGCATATCATAATGTGTGATTAAAAAATGAAGCATTGTTAGTGGTGAAGTATGCATATTCTTTACATTGCTCCAGATTTCCTGAGGTGCTGACATGGAAAATTTGTTTAACAATCAAGAGCTTCTTTAATTTGTGATCATTTCCTTGATTCTCATGACTTAAATATTGCATGGATCAGGGGTGATCACGTTAGGAGAAATTAGATGCTGGTCACTCTTAGGGGTCAAATGGTTGACAACATAATTACTCCTAAAAATATGCAAATTTGGAAATTATTTCATATGAATATAGATATTAAAAACATTCAAATGGTTACATCATATTTAACATAGAATATTACTTACAATTTTATTAAAAGTATAAGATAACATGTTTAAGTAATATCTACAAATATTTTCTAGAAAGGTATGTGTTAAGTTCCCTAAAAATTCCTAAGTTACAAGATGCCGGCATGGATCCACATAACTGGATAAAAGATTCTTTAAAGCACTAAGTAGTTTTTCAATTCAGAAGGGCTTCCCTGTCATTGTTACCTTGCGAGCTACAGTGTGCTTGCCACTAAGTTGGTAAAATGAAAAGGTGCATAATTGTACATAAGTTAACAGTACCTGCAGTTTTGGGTCCTCAGCAGTGTTCACATGATAAAAACAAATAGCTTCACCAAGAGCCGATCGCAGCTGTCATGATTAAAAATTATATTTAGTTTAAAATTTTGCAACAACAACAACAACATGAACACTTTTTTTTATCTCTTTCTTATGATATACTGTAAAACAAAATCACAGAATTAAATTTAAGTAATGTTTCTCAGAACTAATAAATTAAATGTAAAGCCAGCTGAGCTACAGTAATGGTAACTATTATAAATAATGGGAAATCATCCTATAACCCATAAGACCCTGTGCACAGTGTTACATTTTTTTACATTTTTTTTAAAGGTGTTTTCTTGCGTGAATTTAGGGCTAAGTACCTTTGAGCTGTAATGTATTAGAAATAATTTTTAAAAGAATGGCTGTTAAATAACTGGACCATGAAATATAGAAAGAGCAAGGTGATAAAAATGCACTTCTCTCCACGACAGAAAAATAATTAGTTCCAGCTTATGAAAAATTATCTGCCTGAATAAAACAATTGCTCAGGTTGTTGAAATTCAGCTAGAAAATTCTGTATAACAGATGTAGAATTTTGTAATCCATGATGCCTTTCAGGCTTAATACATGTATATGACAAGTGAAAGACTTTATCAGAATTGGGATTATATAAATAAACAAGTGTTTCACTTACCACCATTGTAGCAGAAGCCAGATTGTCAAGACCATTTGGCAAATGCATCTTGTAAAATTTATCTGCATCCAGCTCTGCAGTCTCACTAAGTGTGAGATTCCTCTGAACATGTTTAGCCAGATATCTTCCATAGCAGTGAAACTGCGCAAGTTTGTATTCCTTCAGAATGTTAGAATATGTACAAATTAAGGCTGGTAAAAAAGTACATTGAAGAATCATAGTTGTCACAAACTTTCCACCCGATCTTGTTATTTGTTTTTTTTTTCAGTATAAAACTGCTGGAATACTAAAGATGTGGCTCAAATTGTTCAGTTTCTTAAAAAGAAGTTAAGGGCTTTCATTAATTCTCAGATTTTTTCACTTGCCACCCTTCAAAGAAAACCAAAGTTGACACAAACATAATTACATGACAAATATTGAGGTAATAATATTATACACACAGTTATCCCTTCCATGAAAAATGAGAAAAGTAAACTGCCAAAAATTTTAACAACTCCAACTTTTCAAGTATGTCACTACAAAAAAAATTTAAAAAAAAACCCTTGCTAAGGTAAGGAATTAAGTTGGTCAATCCTGTTTCTACAAACATGAAAAGTATGCAGACATAGACAAACATGTAACTTTTTCATAAGACTGCAATGCAATTTGTTTACCTTGACAAAGAAAAGGAAATCTCCAGTGTTTAAAAGCTTCTCTTGATAGTAAGATTGTGGTAAATGGCTCTCATATGTGTTCCACATGGAAAACAATGTGTTTGACCTTTCCGTGAATTGATACAAGGAAACAAAAATTACTACAAAATAGTGGATCCTCAAACGTTACTACGCAAAAATACATCAAACACTTTTTCGTGATCATTCTGACATCTTAAGAGGAATATGTATCAAGGCATTATGCACAAATATATTTGATGTTATGATTCCAAAGACAGATCAGTACTGTAACGTTGTTTCACAGTTTTACATATACATCCTCAAATTGGTTGAAAATGAAAGTCAAAACAATTATCCATAGTCAATACAGTTTTGAATTCAAACACGAGATTCTTAGGACAGTGGTAGGCAGAGAAATTTGCAGAGATCATTTAACAGAATAAACTTTCAGATGGATGCAAAAGTTCAACGCAAAAATCAGCAGACAAACAAAACACGCCAAACATTTACGTTGTACATATACAGCTATAAATGTACATACCCTCTTGCCAGAGGTTCTTCGTCATTCTTCTTGGTCTTCAATCCTGGTTCTGATTTCTTTTTAATGTATTTAATAAATCTTGAAAGTTCTTGCTCAAATGCTACCAATACTGGACTGATTTGTTTGAGATCTAGACATGACAAACATGAATTGCTAATAAATTTATCTTCTGCTAGTGTCCACTTTTCAGTTATAACATGAAGACAACATTTTGACAAGCTATCCTGTTTCCTCTATGTAGTGAGTACTACGGCACCTTTTTGTAGCAAACTGTATAAAAGGGTCCTTTAACGTTCAACTGTGTTAACAGGAAATGTAAAGAACAGTACAAGACTGAAAATAATTTTCGATCACCCAAAACGCTATCGAAGCTTACCGCCATTTGTTGTTCCATTAGATTGCAAACCATTTCTTCCGTTTCCACCGACGAAAGACGTATTCAAGTCTACCACGCTTTTTCCTGAAGTAGACAGCTCCATATTAAACCAAAATCGCCCTTATCAAGCTTGATTAACAGCTGAGTTTTGAATGTTGACAAGACGCCATTTTGAAATACAGAGCCCGTCTCCAAGGACAAAGTAACCTCGCCTGATCCTCGATCCTTGGAGCCGCTTAGTGTCCACTGCACCGCCCGCGGTCATTCCGTAACAAGAGGGTCCTGGAAGATAGATTGGCACTATGAATTATATCAAATATTTTTATCAATCTATATATTTTCTTTTTTGGCACAGTAAAGAGTTTGAATTACGTCCCGGAAATGATCACTCGAGAATGGCGCTTGCCGTCAAAGGAGGAAACACTCAAAAAAGTACAACTAAATTAATGACCAAGTTTGGATGTACTTCAGAAAAATTTTCCTCAAAATGTTAACTCTTAAAACCCTGAGAGTGACTAGCATTAAATTTCTTCCTACAATATCACCGCTGAATCACACGTTAAGGTCATGAGAATAAAGGAAATGATCACCGACAAAAGAAGCTTTTGATTGTTAAACAAATTCTCCTTGTCAGCACCTTAAGAAATTTATTAAGGCCAGTATGGAGAATATGCATACTGATGTTAAGGTGTAAAGTGTCAATAATGAGGATATATCCTCGATTCCAAATGCAAAATTCTGATTGGCTTTTTTCTATTCCAAGTAATAGGCTTCGGGAAAAAGTGGACACAAAAAAACAAAATATAAAAACAAAAAAATCTATCAATCTACTTCACAGCCTCAACAGTTTTGCCTTGATTCTCGGATATGCCCATGTTTTTGAACTGTCATACAGTTAACCTTTAGCTCCCACAAGTAATAAACATGAAACTTCTCTCAAATTTATCAGGTAAAAGCTGCTATCTTGATCTAACACCAAGTTCTCATAACTAATTTACAAGGAAATATTGAGCAGCTAGAGGGGAGAGTAAAAAATCAGATCTTGGGAGTTAAAGGGTTAATCTTCTATTGGATCATTCTCTATCAGCTGTCAAATGCACGAGCTACCGAGCGGAAGTCGCCGGTATAATTTTAAGCGCAATTGGCATCGATAAACAGCCTTTAAGTAGGATTTAAACATGTTATTTCATGGTATAAGCCTTATTGGAAAATCTCATTACGATTTCAGGTGATAAAAAAATTGAAAGTTCATTTTATCGCCAATTAAGATCTGCCTTTGACGTCATAGTCTTTTTTCTCCCGGAAAAGGTTAAGTGATGTTCTCAATCAAATATGGCAGAGTCACGGCGTCAAAATACCATAATATAGCTGTACACACAAGCTAAAAAGATAAAAGCGACCCCAGGACAAATAATACGTTTTTTCCTTTTTTGAATAAATATTGTGCTAAGATTACTCGACGTATAAAGTCTTTAACAAGAAGAAGTTCTTAATAATGTCTTGCTGATATCTACGGTTTATCTCGGACCGACGGTGAGTACTTCATAAAACTGTAAATAAATTGTTTCAGTTTTTTCCCCATGACACCGAATCTTTGTGTATTTAATCGCCGTTTTCCATCTCAACAATGATTTAACCGCTAGCTAAATTGGAAATCGACAGGCGACATCAAATATGGGAGATTTGAATCGCTAAAAATTGCTCACGTAAAACTTGTATGTTTATCGAAATTTAATAACATCGTTCACTCTTCTCGAACGATGTAAATATTTCCAATTGTTTTTTGTCCAATACAATTCTTTTGCAATGAATAATTGTTATTTACACCTTTATAAACATGGTTTTTTTATTTTCAATTAATTTCAACCCGCAAAAAAACCTAAGGGAAAAACTTTGCATAAAATGATTAACAGATTGTATACAAAAACTTTTACTTCGCATGCAGACGCTACAAAATTTTAACCCACAGAGGAAATGTCACTCCATTTGAAAATTTGTCCCACAGAAATTGTAACATTGAGATCAGTGAGATCAGCCAACCGGCCCGGCAGTGAATTTAGATAAAGTGTAACCTCTTTTGAATCAAATTGGCAAACATTTTGCGCTTCCGTCCCGAAAAATCGGCTCGGGTCGGCATGAAAACAATGACGCAGTGTGCCTCTCGGCCAAGAGTGTTGAAATCAGTTTCATCTCTCAATAAAAGAGATAATTGGAAGCAAAGAAGTTGAAAGCGTCGATTTCTTTTATCACGACTACTGTACGCTATTACTTTATGATAATGAGCAACCGGTTTTAAAAATCAATTAGCATAAGTTATTTGGTGTTAACTTTGTTTAAATCAATAGTATCACACAACGAAATCAGAGCGAGCAGCTCAAAGCAAACAGGCCAAAGTGCACAGCCCTAATGATGAGCTCAGTGTAACACACGCGCACAGAACTCTAGAACCTGTCACAGCTACGTGGTAAAGACCTGCCCGGTGAAATTCTTTATCAAGGGGTAACAGGACAGCATCCGGAAATCGTGGAATAAAACGAACGTTCCTTCAACTTAATAACTCAGGCCCCATTACATAATTCCGTCGTCAAGCTACGAGTTGAGAATCGAAGGTAAGCTGTATGTAGTAACTCGTTTGTTTTCTTTAGCCATTAGGCGATCGGACGATATGTAATTTTTTGCAGCTTGCCCTTCCATTGACAAAGGCCTGTCTTTGAACACAGCTACTCTGTCTTAACGGCTCTTAAAAGTTTGCTTTCGACCCCATTTTGTCACCCAAGAACGGTGCAGCTTGATACAAAGTTATTTCGGGGCATCACTTACAAATTCCGGATCAACGTTGAAAAGAACCGATAGCAATTTATTAGGCATTGTTCTAAACTCGTACATGAAAAATTCTCTGAATTCTGTAAATGAATCTACAATACCGGTATATGTTTATGATTTAATTTAAGCGAAAATATTTTGTGGGAAACGAAGACCAAAATTTTGTAACCCTGTCTGAAAGAAACTGTAAACAAACAGCGCAATAACAAACCCATTCGTCTCACACATGGAATCTATTCCGGAACGAAATGGGTTCCGTACGAACACCTTTACAGAGACGTGATGTAATTTTAATCACAAGTGTTGGTAAAAATGCAGATATGCCTTTTGTTTTTCGAGGAACTTTGCTTGAAAGTAGCAGATCAGATCAGAACGAGTTAACTAGGCTGATCTAGAAGATGATTAGCAGAACTGGAAATGAAATTTGTTGTGATAAAAATCAAATTTGTGCATTGCGGTTCTTTTGGGATTTCATTTGCGTAATTCCGCACTCATGTAATAGAATTTTTGGGTGCCTCATATTAGACGGGGATTTCTATCATCTAATAGACCCTCAGGGAAAGAAGAAAATTGAATTTTGCTTACAATGCTACATTTGCCGATATTTTTATTCTCAGATGTTTATACAAGCTGAGAATTTTTATTCTGCCAAATCGTTTATCTACCAAATGTTGGCGGGTTACTATTATTGCTGGTGAGCGCATTATTCGTGCCGGCAGCTTGCACGGCAATCTGCAAGATGACAGAAATCTGGTATGAAGGTATCGATGGTATCAGAGTTTTTTATTATTTTTTGTGTATGAATTTGAAACTTCAGAAATTTTTGCTTTGTTAACAAAGAATGAAATTAGGCTATAAGACGTTCGCGGGCAGAAACGTAATTTGGGCCCCGCAAGGGCTCAGAGTCATTTTAGCCCGAACCACCAGCGGAGGGTCAAATAACTCTAAGGAGGGCGCAACTCATTCATATCTATGCCCAAGAAAATAAACCGTACTACTATTATTAATTATTATCACTTTGGATAGCAATGAGAGGATAAAAACTCAACAGAACAATATGAACAATCACGCGGGCATGCAAGCTGGCTAAATACTTTTTAGCCCGCCAAAATCTCCACGTTAGCCCGCAAAATGCGCCACAATGCCCGGGAAAGTGACGATATTGCCAATATTACTTATGTTTCGTTTCAAAATCATTTGCTCTTATCTCTCTCTTGAAAGGAGAGTTACTCATGACACCAAGAAGACATTTTCATTTCCGCGTGGCTTCCGCGTTGTAAACTAAAATCAAAGTAATAATAGCGGTTACTTCACACAAAAAATAATCAGTGTCAGAGGGACCCGATGAGGATTTGAGTATAATCATGTAAACGGCCTCGATCGGGGGAAAGTGTGATTACTTCTAACCTATTTTTATCTGTGCATCTAATTGGTTGAAAAGGTGCTGCTAGTTTTTTTTTTTTTTAGACAAATGCAGTTCCGGTTTACTTGGTTACTTAGTTGAAAATGGTTCTTCACGCTTAAACTCCCATTAGTAACCAATTCACCATTTCTCCTTACAATGTCAATACAATATCAAGCAGAAAAGTGATGAAAATAAAGAAAAATATCAATAAGGGGATTATTAGTTGATCCAAGAACGAAGTCTTCGAGCTATCATCATACGTATTGTATGGAAAACATTTAGGGGAATTAGTAAGGATATCGTAGGAATGAATGGGTTAAACGCCTAAGCGCAGTGTCTTCTTTCCATTTAGATGACTTCAAACCGAAGCAAATCCACGTCGTCCTCAGAGAATGGCATGCCGGGATCCCTAGTGTCCACAGTCGCGTTTTTGCCGCACAAGACTGGAAAAGAGAAACAACGCGCCTCAAATTCTAAATCTTGCCTCGTTAAGGTTGCTCTTGCGGCCTTGCCAATACTCCTTCTGTTAGCATTGGTTATTGTTCTCGTGATTCTCTTGACTAGTGGTGATAAAAGAGACGATCCAAAGACCAACGGTCTTCGTGCTGGTTGTAGCTACTCTGAAGAAGCCAAGCGCATTGGTTTGAATGTATACCTCGAAGAACTTTTCCATAAACACTATGAACTAATGCCGGAGAAGATAGGGTCGAAAAGGAAGGTGACTTTCGATGAGATTACGAAACATTATCGACCTTATGATCCAAGTCCGAGTGCTGTCAAGAACTTCACCGATGAAGTTCGAAGGCTGTACGAGAAGATGAAAGAGATCATCGGAAAGTCGAATGGATCACGTTTGAAATTACGTGAAAACAAAGCTATGTATTTGGCACAATATTTGCTGAAGCATTCCTTCGACTGGGGTCCTTACGAGCGAGATTATTACACGGGTGACTGGATGTTTGAGCCAAATTTGTATTGTTGGCAGCCAATTTGCGGTGTGCTTGAAAACTTTTTTAAGGTGATACCCTATTTCAAGCCCGGTAATCTCCCACAATTGAAACGGCTTGAAGAACTCTTTGAGAAACACAACGAAACAATTTCACGATACATTGAAAATCTGAAGCTGGGCGTGGCAACTGGAATAGTCCGCTCCGTGGAGTCTTGCAAAGCTGGGATTATTGCAATTAAGAGAAATTATTATCAATTTGCTGTGCACAACGAGACAGGTAAGATTCGAATCACCGAAAGATACTTACTAAGGAGGGATAGTTCGTTCTGATGAGGCTGGTTTTCACTTTGGAGGAAATTGCAGTACTTTTCTTAAACAGAGAGGCAAACGTCTGTCTTCCCGTCTGTCTGTCTATCTGTATACCTGTCTGTCTGTCTGTCAGTCTGTCTGTCTGTCTATCTATCTGTCCATCTGTCTGTCTGTCAGACTATCTGTCTGCCTGTCCATCTGTCTATCTGTCTGTCTGTCTGTCTGTCTGTTTGTCTGTCTGTCATTCAGGCCACTTGTCCTTCCGCCCATTTATCTCTCTCTTCACTTATGTCCGTCTGTATTTTTTATGTCTGTCAGTTTGTTATTAAGTGATCCTGTCTGTTTCTGAAGCAAATCTATTTATTATTCAGGAATTTTCAACGAGCAATTAGGGAAAAAAGTCCTCTCAGAAGGATTCACCTCAAAAATCACGCCCGAAATGAACGCCACGTGGTACGAGACAAGAGGCGAAGGCGTATACCAGTCCCTCCGACGATTTCTGTTGGTTTACTTGGGCGAACCGCTGACAAGACTTATACGGTATGGGAAATCAGTTGCTCTAAACCTGGTATAATATCCTGTTGGGTTGTCAGAGGGTAATAAAAATTTAATGCCTTCGGGAATCAGATAGATACGTTCGCTCCAGTGCATTTTTAGTGCAAAGTGTGACCATGATTCTCAGCGCCTCAAATTTCATTGGTAGTTGATAACTGAACTGCTACTACGGCCTTTAAGCATCTAAGCATGCGCACTTAAATTCAGTGACAGATTTTAACATCTGACATTATTATCTTGTTAAAATCAAATTTCCAGTGAAAAATTCAACTCAAAATTTCGAGCGTGCTCGCCAGCGTTTGCCGTCTGGTTAAAATTCTCGTTAACCTGAGTCTAATTTTTTTTCTGTGCGAGCGAGAGTGGTAACTAAAGTATTCACGTCAGCCAATCCGGATTGAGAGCCAACAAGATTTCAGAGTAAATATGCTCACTTAAAAAAGGCGGGAAAATGTAAGTGATCGAGTCGTGATTGCTCTGATTCTGCACTTGATTGGTTAATAAAATGCTGCTGATTTTCTAGACCAATCACAACACCTAATGGCAAAAAACTGAAATCGCCAGATTACCGGCCTCTACCCTCAACTGAATATTGTACTGTAGATATGGTTCCTAACTGATAAACATGTGACATCTCTTACTGATTTTAGATACCTTGAAGAGGAACATATCAAATATTGTTACGATGGTGCAACGGGAATAGCGAAATTACCCTTAAATGCCGTATACGCCGATGGCGTTCGTGATCCATCTCGCCCGACTACTGGAAGCTTACCGAATGGAGACAAATTCAATGCAAGTACTTCGTACAAAAGACTATTGTCATTTTTCACCAGTACCTCCATTTCTCCAGATAAGTTGAGAGCGATGGGTTACAAAAAACTCGAAGCTTTACTCAGCGAGGTATTTATGTTTGTCTCCGAAAGGGAGAGTTATGTGCTTGATTGTGAATCGAAAGGCCCCGCTTTTAACTCTAACAAGATGTACTGTGGTGAATTCTTTGAAACAGTTGAATAGAATAGTTGAATTATCACAGTACCTTTTCCATCCAGGAGCACAGGGGTACCAGCAAACTGTCTGGAGGGGGGGGGGGATACAACCTTTGCAATAATAAAATTTTCTTTGAAATAAAGGATTATATTCTGAAAATTATATTTAAAAGATATCGGAATAAAGGCCAGGATCTGACACGTTTCCTCTTCATACTGCGAGAATGTAGGACCTACAAGGTTTCATATTAATGAAACACTTAGTAAAGAAAGTTTTCGAACATTTGGAGTGGACAAAAATCAAGTTTCTATTATGATAATTCAAACCCAAACCAGTTTTGCCCTCACGGCTGAATCCGATAACAAAGCAGTTAAGTTACAAAAAGCAACTCGGCAAGCGAAGCCATACAATATGTTAACTCTTTACACCCTAACAGTATGCATCTTGTCCATGTTGTTCTCTATACATTTACTTAAGGGCTGACAAGGAAAGTTTGTTTAACAATCAACAGCTTAATCTTGAGTTTATGATAATTTCCTTTATTCTCCTGACCTTTATGAGTGGTTTAGAGGCGATTATGTAGAGAGAGACTAGATGATAGTCACCCTTAAGGGCCAGAGCGTTTATTTGAAACTAGTGTCTTGCCTGCGGCCCCGATCAGTCAGTGTCGGAAGCGCATATTTTGTAGATGTAAAAGGGAGGTGCAGCGGTTTATGGTTTTCTTTTCGTCAAAGGTAAAGAATCTTGCGAAGCAATATACCGGAATCAAGGACGAAGGCCGGGCTGTCGTCAAGTTCAGGGAAGTTCTCATATCACGTGACATGTTCTTTAACCGCGATTCTTTCCCCATTAATGAGTCTGGGGATGAAGCATATATGAAATGCACTGACACTGAGGGAGCGCGCGCGTTTTGCCCTATGCGCTGGAAAGCGCTACAGAAGTGGATCAACTACACAAAACACGTATGTAAAACTCTTGTCAATTTCTATTCGCACCGTTACAGTAGAATCTTAGAGGGGCATCAACGTCAGTCAAAAAGAGAAAAAAATTTGTTTAGTTCTTTTGGTTTTCAACCGCTTTATTTATAAAGAAGGGCCAATCTTTTGGGAAATTCTCATTACCATTAAAAATATTTCATTTGATAAAGAATAACCTATTTTCAGAACAACAACGAGTCTTTGATACTTAAAAGTAGTGTGCTCTACTTCATTCAAAAAGGTTGCTCAAGTTCTGACACCCAAGATAAAAAATCTCTTCTACGATTCCAATTCGAAGAAAACGACACCATCTTGTGGTATTTCTGTAAAAGGCGACTACAAGCCTGGTGTTTGTTTCCATGGTTACGAAATGGGTTGCCCAGCGAGCCAGACACTGCCGTTCTTTATGAACGATTTTGGGCCAAAATACACAGAGTTTACGACGACATCTCATGAACAGCTTCCAGGACATCATTTGGAGGTAAGAGAAGCTACATGGTGTCTGTTTCTTTTATACATTTTATGTGTGTTTTGGTTTTTGTTTTGTGTCCCTGAAATGCGTTCAACTCTGTCTTGAAGATTTATCACTCAAGCAGACAGTCTGCCACTAGCCCTTCCAGCCCTACCTACTTTCTATTGAGAGTCGAAAGAAACTCATTACGCCCTGTAATTGGTATAGAAATCGTACACCACCCCGTCAGCCATCAGATACAAAAGTAAACCAATCCAGACTAGGTTACCTGCATTTTCCGGCGCCTCATTTGCTCATGGTAGTTACTTCTTCTGTTCCTATCTGCCGTCGTTATTATTTCGGTGGTGGTTCTGCAACATCCACCCAAAATGCAATTTACATCATACCTTAACGCCCCCCTGGATAATTGCCCTCACTTTCCCTGAGTCTATTACGAAAGTGTCCGACAGTCATAATTTGTTCCTCTCTTTTTAATCTCAGGTCCAAGGTTTTAACGAGAATTTTCAAGATCTTTGTGGGGATGCAATATCCTGGATATCTGCTGAAAACTACATTCCTCCTTTCACCGAGGGATGGGCAACCTACGTCGAACATCCTTTGATGGCCAAAGATACGAATTCCTACGTCAATGTATTGGATAAGAACATTTTGTTGCAGAAATATGGGATGATGAAATATCAGGTAACTCATGCCCAAATGACACCTGTATTGTTAGCTATAGTGAGGCAGTGTGGCCTAGCGGTTAGGGAGCTGGACTTGTGCCTGGTGGTCCTAGGCTCAAGCCCTCCATTCTTCTGCTTACAAGATTTGTTCTCAGTTGTCTCGTGTTCAACTCCTTGGCTGCACTTTGTATATAGCCAACTATAAATCTATAGCAGCCATTAAGGAGAATTGCACATCTGATCAAGGAAGTCAAAGGGAAGTTAAATGGTTATATTGAGCAATGTTATGTAAAGCGAACTAGGAAAGAACTGTAAATAAAGTTCAGCGAACTGAACTGATTGAAACCACCAGTAAGAGAAAGACACTCCTCTTTGCTTCTTTATGTTCTGTCCGACAATTAATTTTTTCTTCGATTGTACAAATACAGACACGCGTTAAAATTCCGTGTTTCTCATTTCGTCTGCTCTTTACTAAATAAGGTACTCACGCATTACTCGCTAAACACGGAGCATGCGTAAGGCAGAGGTTAGGTAATCAAAAATTATTTCTTTCCAGATCCTCGCTGCCCTACGATCTGTTTTGGACAGTGGCGTTAATTACTTCGGAATGACGCGCGAGGAGGCCACCAACCTTTACGCGCAGTACGCTTGGGACGAAAGTGACCTGGCCGTCAAGGATATCACGCGGTTCCAAAATACTCCAGCAATTGCCATGAGCTACATGATTGGCCACGAGACGTTCGTCAAATTGAGGCAACAGGCCCAAAGAGAACTGGGTGAGAGTTTCTCGATGAAAGAGTTTCACTACCAAATTCTTCGTCAAGGAGAGATCCCTTTAGAGTACCTGGAGGAGCACATTTCGCGTTTCATCAAATGCAAGAAAGGCTCCTCGGAGCGAATTTGTCCAGAAATACTCTCGTGACAATCTATGAGGGGAGCTAACTTTAAAATAAGTTCAAGCAAAAAATACTTTAAACCATAAGAAATAATTTTTTCCTATATGCTTTAAATTCTCCAAACTAACGTTAAGACACACCGACTAAGTTCTGAGGGAGAATTTGCGATTTCCTCTGGGAAATTATTTTGAAATGTTTTCCCTTTGCATGGAAGCAGAAGCATATAACCCTGGTTTCTGAGGAAAGGTAATCAAAGTGTCCAGTGTGAACAAAAATATGATGTCTGTATTACACGGTATTTGCTAAAATACTTGCGTGTTGCAGTTCGTTTAAAAACAATTTTAATACTGGACACTGTGTTAGAAGCTTTGGAATAAAGCCCTGGAGATTCATCGAAGGTAGATTAAAAAAAGCTAGAATATGTTACACAGAGATTCTAAAAATATATAATATAAATTAAAAGACTTAGTGCTGAAGAAACTTAAGAGATCGGTAGACAGATTATAATAATGCGTTAAAGTCATTCCTAATGGTTGCATGCACAGCTATATTGTAAATAATTACGCGTGTGAACATTGGCGCGCATATCTTAGTTGTTTTAAAAGAACATCGTGGGATTTCGCGGTCGTTCTCGCCCCGCCGGCCGATGTCAAAGTCAACATTTACCCATTCAAAGCGCAGATTAAAAAACAGTTGTAAGATAAATGATTCTAGTTGCACAGTTTCATAAAAATTGTCATGGCAGAATCTAATAAAGAGGAAGGACCTTTACTGAACGAGAAAAGGGTGTAAGTTTCTAAAGAGACTGTGGTACTGCGTCGGTGGGAGAGTATAACAATGTAATTTAGTGTTATCAACTGAGTTGATAACGTAAATTGGCCACCGTAAAGAGTTTCAAAGCTGACGTTTCGAGCGTTATCCCTTCGTCAGTGCGATTGACGAAGGGCTAGCGCTCGAAACGTAAACTTTGAAACTCTTTATGGTGGATAATTTACGATATCAACCCAGTTGATAATGCTAAATTACTCTTTACTGCATATAATCGTCAACTTAGGTGTTGTAAATACTAAAAGCTAATAGTAGATTTCTCTCATTTACTACCAATAAAGGAAAATATGCCAACTTTACTGTGTTAATAACTTGTCTTCCATCAGAAATATCAACATCCCTAAGGTATATCCCGAGGGTTTGTATCATGGCGGAGGCGGGGGCGGGGGCGGGGAATGGGAGGATTAAAACTTCCCGTATCCCCAGCGTACCTCGTCCACTAGCTTTATGACGTACGCGTTCGTCATAAGTTGTTACGCCGGTGTTATGGCGGGTGTGCTTGATGTTAAATAGAATTCCTTATATTTTTTTAGAATGCTACCGAACAAGTATGACCACACATGTTCCGCACACGTTCTGAGCTTGGATCTGGCCGCACGTGATTAAAGCCTTGAATTTTTGTCATAATTTTATCGCCTAAAAATCTCCTCAGTTTCGGTGCACTGTAAGGGCGCAACTAAGATTTTTCATGGGGGAAGGAGGTGGGGAAGAGTCACAGTGTGTCAAACAGAGGGTATTCACCAGTTTTCGCCATCTGAATGTTTTAGGCTTTTGGCTTTAAAAAAAAAGCTCACAAAAGGATCCCTCCACCTTAACTTCGCCTTTACACTGACAATTAGTACCCATGTAATATAACAGACAGCCTCAACCCGGCAGTTTGTATCTTTCCTCAATGTCTTCCTTAATGCCGGCTGTGATGAAAATAAATGGTGTGCAAAATGCAAGGTATGTTAAGGCTGTGCCATATGCCTCGACCCTATTCCCATCAGTGAAATATGTCCCTCATGTTTTCAGGAGATTTAATCCGTTCACTTTGGTGAGCTCGATCCTGGAAGCCTGTTGGAGTGCAGTTAACTTTCGTCTTACAAGAGAGATCCTTTCCAGCAAATTCAGATCAAAACTTTCATTCCCTCACTCTGCCTTGTTTGTCCACGCAACCTTGCGAACCTGTTGATTCTCAGGAGTAATTTCAACGCTGTTTCCTCCTTTCCTTGGAGGAACCTCTCCCTTGGCTTTCCCACCAGAGAAGCTTGAACGATTCAAATCTCCATTTTCTTTACCTAAAGCACTGTGGTCTGTCTTGCTTATCGCAGAAACTTCCTGCGGATATATTTTAGATTCCCTTGTCTTAGATCTTCTATTTTTCTCACCAGAACCTGAGTTAGATATTTTACCTTGTACATCTTCACCTAAATGCTTAGTAAGTTTTATCTTGGTTAAGCCCATTGTATAATGTTTGGATGGACATGTTTGTATGTTCATGTACGTTTTATCCCAAGTGATTTTCTTAGGCATGTTGATGTCAAGTCTTTCAGCTTTCTCTTCGCTTTCATGGAGTAAGTTTTGCTCCGGCCCGACCAAAGCACGCGCTTTCGCACCGCTAATCTTTTTGTCCCTCTCTCGTTTGCCTGCATGGTTCAAACTTGTAGAATTTCCATTACCATGGACTTGAAAAGAGCTTCCACTAACTTCTCTTTCAATGTTATTTTTGAACGCTCCGTTCTCGGCATTATGATAGGTGTATTGCTCTTCGTTGTATTCGCTAGTTCCAAAGGGATCTTTAAGAAACTGCTTGACGGCACATCGGACTCGAGGTAAACGAGTATAGTATATAATCGGGTTAACAGCGCTTGAGAAGTAAGCACAATACCACGCAATGAATGCAAACCACATTTGAGCCTGGTTCACTTCCTGAAGACCTATGGTGGCAAACACAACGACTGGAATGTGGCAGAATAAATATGCAGCTATTGTAATGAAGATGGTTTTGATAGCTTTTAGGTCCTGTTTAAGTCGAGCCACGGCCTGCGTAGCACATAGGTTCATCACTCCCCTCTGCAAAAAATAAATACTGGTTATGCAACAGTTCCTTTTTATGCTATCATGGATAATATTAGTGATGTACCTACGCCTTTTACGGCCAAGCCTACATTTCAGTGGCAGTTAAACGATAAGGTCTGGGTTAGAGATTTGGATAATATAATAAGCTATATTACGAACGCATTTATTATTGGAGGACAGATGCATTTATGATGTCACTATTGATTCTTTGTTTTATTATGAGAAAGTCTTGCATAATTATCTAAAGCTACTATTTGGCCAATTCGATTCCTCTTGGTTAATAACAAGATAATACAGATATACCCGCGTCCATCATCCGTGAGATGATTCCAAAAATTTAGAAATTTTTGACAGATTGAATGACAATTAACAAAACGAAACAAACATAATTTGGTACCTTTTTTTTCTCCACCTGTATCGCACGAGCTGTCAAGCACGACAGTACTACTGCAAAGGAGACAAAAAAACGCTCTTGTAGCAGCGACGAAGAGTTTTCCTTGTTTAAAGATCTCAGTTCTGTAGTGAATAACATGCGCATCACCAAGATTGATGTCGGAAAGCAGGATCAAGGATGAGACCGTCGAAATAATACTGACAAACCAAACGAGAGAAATACAGATGACTGCATTCGTCTTTGTTTTCCAAGCAAGATACTTAAAACCATACGAAATTGCCAGGTACTTGTTTACCAAAATGACGAGCATAGAAAGTAGATTTAGTGTCGCAAAGAGCCGATCGAAACCGCATGTTAGAATTCCTAATGCTTTGCCCCTAAACCAACCAGCCTCTAAAACTGTGTAAATCATATACATAGTAAAGGCTATAACTGCACTTAGAAAATCCACTAGACAAAGATTGGCGATCAAGATGTTCTGAATTGTTCGTAACGACTTAAACCGAGCAATCATAGCGAACATTAGACCGTTGCCGAGTTCACACGCCAATATAAGAATAAATGTCAACCCACTCATGATGACTTTGGTTATAAGTGGTTTTTCTGGATACATAGCGGCTGGAACTGTGATGGCTCAGGAGCTAAAACAAATTATGAGATAAAAAGATGACAGAAAACCGAAATTTCATGTAAATAGTGTATTGAAAGACATCCGAAGAAAACAAAGGTACAAAGGAGACCGTGCTAAACAATGGAAAAATGGGAACGAAGTATTGTTATCACTTTTCGTTTCTACAGCTGGTTCTAGTTGGATCAATTATGTTCTTTAAGCAGCTTTATAACCAAATGTAGTTGTTAGCCTTGACCTAAAATTCAATACTATTTAATAACCTGGTTTTATCTTAAATCCAATGGATTTGATGCTAATACTTAAGCATCAAAGTCGAATAATTTGCCTGATCATAAAAAATTACAATTTCCTCCATAGTGATGGGCTTAAAAAGCTCCTATTTTCCACTAATTCATTTGCCAAGTTGTTATCGAACAGTTTGTTAACGGACAGTTAAATAAGCCAATCACATTCAAAGTTGTAATTGAAATCAACCAATCACCAGCAATCCATTACATTTTGATTGTAGTGATAAACAAATCGGACTTCCGCTGCGCGGTCGTCCGATTTTGTTATCACTTGTATGCTTACAGACTGAATTGGACTCCTGGAGTTGGACATTACTGATCAAATCCGATAAACATGTTTAAAGGACTAAGAAATTTATGAATAATTACTGCTGGCAATGCTGATGTAACACAACAGGATGCTTGCGTAATAGCTTTATTGGCAAAAATTGATTCTTTAGTAATGAGTTTCTGAGGAATATATAAAAATGTACTCCAAATTTCTCCTTTTTTTTTTCAATTGTCTTAATTTAGAATGTGTTCGTGTGAAATAAAGTACACTCAGCTCCGAGTCTATTTTGCTATCACTAGTCGAGCAGGGAAAAGTGGAAGCTTAAGGCATAGAGGAATAAAATGGGTGAAGTTTCCAAAGAAACTGTGTCGCTGTTTCGGTTAGGGGTACTACAAGATAATCTGTTAGTTCGACTCCTAGATGTAGCTTGTGAGAAATAAACCAACGATAGTCCAAGCTTATTTGCGCCTTATGCAAATCCCCGCTTGCAGATTAAGTGTAGTCCTTAGAAAGTGAGTTGGAGTGTCTTCTAGACAGAAATTCAAATGAATAGGAACACTTTGCAAATGAAGTATAATCCCTCAGATAATGTCAGGTTATTCATGATTGGAAAACAAGTAAACACAACAAACAAGGTCTATATCCTTGTCCAAAGCATTTAAAAATATCAAGCAGTTCTCTAACAATTTTTGGTGTGTGCTTATTATCAATGACGTGGTAGACATTGCAGATTATCATGTCAGCAAGACGTTGATTTTCAAGTGATGACAGGCCTAATCTGTTGAGCAGTTCAGTAGAGGCTGTTTTTTTTTTCCTCAAAACGAAACGGAGGGCATTCTCGTTTATTTTTTACAAATTTATGGCAACTTTGCGTCAAAAATGCAGGTCTCTGATCGGTAGTTAAAATGCAGAAGGATAACAGTGAGTTAGAGAAGTTTTCTTGTATGAAATCGGAGAATCTTTTTCATTCGCTTGAGTACTGCAGTCTGTCGGGAGATTTTCCTGTACACATCGGCTATGATGTGATCAAAGCAGTTCTGGATTACATTTAACTCTAAATCAAAGCCATCAAGTTGAAAAAATACGTAGAATCAGGTTCTTAGATCACAGTCCAATCCTTCCGTCTGGATTTGAATTAATTACTAATTACCTTCCACACCTTAACATCAGTATGCATATTCTCCATAATTTTCTCTATACATTTC